TACGCGTGGTACATGCATTGCCCCACCACGGCCACCAACAACAACCCTAGACGTCTACTCTATCCCCACTTCGTTTAGGTAATACAACATGGAGAGAATACATACAGCATCACTGCGCTCCACTTCTGAGGGGAAACAACACGGCTTCATTTCTCAGCGAACTCACAATCATTTCCGGATGTAGGTCCGCGGCAGGCGCCACCTACGACGGAATATATGCCACAAGAGTACTCTCTCAGCACCGTCATCAAAAGGGAGAGAGGAGCAAACAGAACGAAACTCGGTAACTGAGGGAAACAACACAAGCAAGATAGAAGCGTAAAATGTATACACATATTCCTATTGGGTGGCGTTTTTTATGTGCGCTAACATCTATTTGTGGTGAAACGATAATGTAGGACGTGGAGAATGGAATCTCTCGAGTCTTATTTATGTGGAATGCCCACAAAATGCAGACACATGCACTTGCTACACCGAAAGAGAGTGATGGTTGCCCACCCACTGATGGGCCTATGCAGTGCGTTGCAAATAAGAGAATGAGACCCACAAGATGGCATCAAACAGCACAGAGGCGTCATACAAAGCGTGAAAAAGCAGTCAGCAAGTTCTTTTTCACACCCCCTCTCCTGTTCGACCTCGTTAAGACAGTTAGGCATCAGACGCCCATTGCTGCTCTGACATGCGCAGTCCACCGCTGCAAGGAGAATCACACGGGAATTGATTCACATTTTTTGGATCCCAACGGGTCTCCAGCATTCGTCCCCAGTAACTCTTCCTGAGGAGGACAATGCTGTGCACCGCAGTGGTGGCGTATCCCTTGTCGATTGCGCCTTCTCCCAAATCGCAATGAGGCAGGTAGCAAGTCAGCTGTATCCAGCCACACATGCAGAAAGGTGAAAAATATGTCAAGTGGGTAGCAGGTAGAATACGGCGTCGCCCTTACGGTCGACTGGGAGGTTTCGTGGTGGATTCGTCAGCACAAAGCGTTGTCCATGAAGGGATAAGTTCCGTGTGTCAGCAATACGGCGGTGCAGGCCAATGGGCAGATAGCACAGGCTGAGGCAGTAGCTCACAACATCATCGTACGTCTCCACCACTCCCGTTGTAAGAGCAAGTGGAAGTCGTCCTAACGATGGCGTCTCATCATCCCTACCGCTCACGAGCATGTCCATGATGTCAAGGAATTCCTCCACAAAATATGTGCGGTGCACCAAAGGAAACAGCATATGCCTGCTAAGGGCGTTGCCAATGATATAGTTCGGCTCAAACACAATATCGACCTCGGCCTTTTGGCGAAGGAAATCGTCTTCTGCGTAGGGCGGGAAGAGGGAAATATGCTGCAGACTGTCGAGTTCCACCATAACAGGAATGTTGTGCGACAAGGGAAGTATGGAAGCGAGCCAGAGGTCAACGAGCATGGATAGCCCGCTGGTGGATACGCTGCTGATCTCCCCTGAGATAAATATGAGGATGCCAGCACTATTCTTCACATTGCACCGCCGCAGATCATTTTCATTTAACCCGCAGCCCTCCACATGCCTCACAGGAATTGCGCCTCTCAGACTGTTCCAGTAACGTTCAAAGTACACGGAGAATGAGGTATCCTGTGTCAACAGAACAATGTCATTCTGAGAATATGTCTGGCGGATGGAGCGCAACACATGGAAAACATCCAAGGCAGCTGAGACAAGAGAGCCCACCTGCGCCCCTTCCGTCTCGGCCGGTTTGCCGGTGGCGATAGCCAGGTCGATGATGACAAAGTGATTTTCCAAGTCGTATGCGTCATCCACTTTTTGGAGTGC